CCAAGGCACAAGTTGAACATCAACCAGGAAGCCCCAGATCAGGCAGACTCTTTTTTTCCCAGACGCTTTGGGGTTTCCCTGTCAAGAGGGAGGCTGAACAGGCAAGCTCCAGAAGAGCTGCCCCGCAGCACAACCTGCTGGCATCTCTCAGCCAAGACAGGACTGCTCTAAATACATTATCCAGCCTAGCAGCAGCACAGGAAGAGAAAAGGTCCAAGGTCAAGGTCCAAGGACATGAAACTACAAGGAAGTCGACCCAAAACGCTGTAGAGCAAAGACCAGCTTTACCCACAATAACTAGCTATCCAGCAAGACCAAAAAGTAAAAGCAGAGTCCTAACCCTGAACTACTTAGGCCTTCTAGCAGACAGGAATCATTACAGCTCTAGGCTTTGCTGTTGTTTAGCCTGGTTTCCTCTAGAAAAGCACAAACTTAGAAGCCCATACTTTGTGCAAGATGAAAGCATTTGCTTTTGAACCCACAGACCAACTTCAGCCAAATGCAACAAAGGTAATTCAGTTTCATGAGACTTAGTGGCCATGGAAAGGAGACAACTAGAGTTGCCCTGGTCAGGGGCGATGCTGCAATGTCAGCTTGCCTTTACTGCGTACCAGAGAACCCACAGTGGAAAAAGCCCTTAGAAATGCTTTAGGCAGGGCTCAGGTTTCCTTTTTGATGGCAGAAATGAGCAGCCACCGGACACATCCAGAGAAACCAACTCCATGATACCTGTTTCCAGAGCTCCCTGGGTGTTTTCTGAGTATATGCATTAGCTGCTTTAAAGCTCATGCTTAAGAGTTCTGCATATGCTCCCCAATCCTCTGGACACCACGTGGCGTATTGCAAACTCACATTTACAGTAGAAAAGTTCTTCATTCCTATTATTCCTTTAATTGTTTTAATATTGCATTATCTCCTTTCTTCTCTGCTGTCTAGAACAACATACTTCTAATACAGGCAATTAAATTAGAGGGAGGTGGCATTTAGAATTAACCTAATCTAAATTTAATTCCAGAATGTTCCTGTGTTTTATTGAGAAAGAGGCCATGCAACAGGTTGAAACCCAATGTGCGTCAGATATGCTATGCTTCACAGCAGCGGAATGTTGTTTTTGGCAGTCCCTTGGCAGATCTCTTCTAGATAACTTGGTAGGACCCCATCTTTGTTATATTGGGAATTCTGAAGCAAACTTTCAAAGGTGTTGCATTTCCTCATCTAACATACTCACTATTAACTATTGCAACACTACACCATGAAATGCAATAGATTTTGCCACCATTTGTGGCCTCAAAAGCAAAACAAGCAAAGCCATTCTAGGAGGCTGGCTTTAGCCCCAACAGAAACAATGGGTTGGAAGTAGAAACAACCAAGTAAATGTTTGCTGCTGGTGACCTCCAACACAAAAAGAGCCAGAAGGGAAGAAATCCTAATTGCTTCGGACTTGCATATCAAGCCACTGCTGCAGAAGAGCCCTTTAGAGGACTACACGTGCAGTCCACCTTCCGCAGTCCCACTGCTCTTTCTTCAATGCTCGTGAGTAGCTCGATACAAAACAGAACCAGCAAAGCTGCCAAAACTTTACAATTGTGTTTCAACGTACAAACCAGAAAACACACCTTGACTTTCAGAGGCCAGGCTCCAGCCCAGTATTTTTATTTCTTAATGCCTAAACTGAGCTAGTATGAGACAAAACCATTGGGATGCAAATAAAAACCTACTTGATATTTCCCCAGCTGGCACTGCACTTTGAGCACTATTGCGATAGGACAAGGGGTAATGGTTTTAAACTAAAAGAGGGTAGATTCAGACTAGATATAAGGAAGAAATGTTTTACAGTGAGGATGGTGAAACACTGGAACGGGTTCCCCAGAGAGGTGGTAGATGCCCCATCCCTGGAAACATTCAAAATCAGGTTGGACGGGGCTCTGAGCAACCTGATGTAGCTGAAGATGTCCCTGCTCATGGCAGGGGGGGCTGGACGAGATGACCTTTAAAGGTCCCTTCCAACCCAAACCATTCTATGATTCTATGGTAAGCATGAAGATCTCTACCTTGCGTGCAGAAATGCACTGAGGCAAGACTTGCTCTTATGCTCAGCCTTACACTTAAAAGCTCAGTTTCTGCTGAGAAAGTAATTCACAGCTGGAAGTGCAGTAACTCAAATAAGTACAAAAAAGACAGGTTGTGCCAGTACCTGAAGAAGAAACCTGGATGTAAACATACCAGGGCTGTGGGAACTGCAACAAGCTTCTGATGAGTACTCACCTTCCTGTAAGAACCTGTTATGAAGCCACAAAGATTTTTATGGTGATGGTTTCTTTTAGCCATGATGTAGTTGTAATAGTCTCACTGTGTCCATGAGAAACTCCCCAAGACTCTTGTAAATAGGGTTGTAACCCAGTTCCAACTCTTGTAATTATAGCATGCCCACTTAAGTTATCCCTGAAAAGTTTTATTTGTTTTTAATAAACCAATCCTAGAAAGTATCTGTTTTTAGAAAAGAAAATGCTTTCAGACTTTTGTTTAAGTAATGCCTCCTTCCTTTCCCTTTGCTTCCTACTCCCTCCAAGAAATCAGCACAGGAGTCTAATAGCTCTTCAAAGAAGAGAATAAAAACCATTGCAAATTCAAAAGCTTCCACTCCACTCTACAGAATCTAGTGTCCAACTTTGGGTCTTTGAAGAGATCCACAGAGACCAAAAGAAACAAGGCCACGATTTAGTGCAAAGTTCATCCAAAAGTTTCCCCATTTCCAGGATAAGCAATTACAAGTCTGATGATCATAGTTTGCCTTTGTGGAAATGGCTCAGGCAACTTAAAAAAGAAAAAAATACTGCAGAACACTGGCAGAACAGCTGCAACACTGACCCTTTATGCAGGAAGGCACTTCCTACAGACAGGAATGCACTTACATAGGCAGGGATAAATTACAAGGAAGAGCACTATTGCCTGGATTCACCCTATCAAAATGCAAGTGTTTATCTGAGATGCCTAAATGAGGAGAAAAAGAAGTGAGCTGAATCTGAGGTAACACCCATCTTCTTACTTGGGAGATGGCAGGGAGTAGAGAAGACAGCTCTTATCTGAGGAGACAGCTCTTATCTCAGTATCTGGAGTAGAGCTCGAAGACCACAAGCTTAGATCTGTGGTTAGTGACTCTCCTGCAATTAAGGTGAAACCTGAGATCACTATGTAATGATAAGTCTCTGGACTTTGTGGTTGTAGAGCAGCATCTGCCTGACATCTGCTAACAGCTCAGAACAGTTGAGCTGAGAGGCGAACAGTCCCAAGCATCTCAACAGGGTGCAGCTCCTCAGCTACGCTGGCGGATGTTCCCAGCACCTTGTTGCATAGATACTGCACACGGGTGGATCCTGGAAGATGGCAGAAATCAGGGTTCAGTTCCCTTCTGCTGAGGAGAAACTAATTAAAAATAACCTTAAAATACAATAAAATTCAGTCCCTCAAACTTTTTTTCCCCCTCCAGGAAACGTCGTGTGAATTTTGTGACTTATACTTCAAGCCTTCCAAGGAGGGAGACTCCCAAAACCACACTATCCTTTTACCCGAAGAGATGCTCTAACCTATTGGCATGCAGATGCGGTCCATGCGAAAGCGCTGCAAAATGCAACCTGACGCTGACAACCAAGTCATCTCACTTCCAAAGTAATGTCTCTCCTTTCCTCAACATACCCTACTTGCTGAAATTTTGTCCTCAAAACTTGTATTGAGTAATATTCAGGAAACTACCTCCCACCCATTTCTTTCAAACAACCCCTTGACTCTGCTGCTGCTGTTTTCACGGCACTTTCAGGTTGATGATGAACAAAAAGTCTACAAAGTAACATCTTCCAGGGTAAAGACTCCCTCCAAATTCCAAACAGCCAGAGTCTGGGTTTTGGTTTGGTTATTTATCCAACAGCTCAAATTCTGCAGTTGGCCTATTATCAGCCTCAAGACTACATGCAAGCAAGATTAAAGAAGGCAACTAATTTGAAGTGAGAGACAAGCTATCAATCTGGTTAAAAAAAAAAAAAAAAATGCACCTTGATCCAGCATTTTGCTATTGGTATATATGTGTCATTCAAATGAGATGCATTAATCACTGAAGAATACTTGTCAAAAATCAAGTGTTTTCTACTCAGTCTTTCAGATGCAGATCTGAGGAGGTGAGCTGCAACTGTACATGCAATAAGGTTTCCAAATTACTAGCAACTCTGAGCTGGTCCTAAATGCAAAACAAAAACCAAAACAGCCTAATGCTCTATGCATGAAAGATAATAAGCAGTGAATGGGTCTGCATACCTGGGAGACTGGCAGCATATTGCTCTGAAATTACAGAAGCAGTACCCTGGAAGATGATCAGCATCTTCTGTGACATGTCCATACTTGGAATATTGAGATAGAGCTAATTTGCTTAAGCCCCAAAAGCCCACTTGTCTGCTTCTGAACTGGCAGGGACAGGAATGAAAACAGAAATGCAACAAGATATGCCCTTCCCGGGCCCTATTTATTAAGTGAATACAAAAATAAGATCATTTAAGTGCAGAGGCACAGTAATCCGCTCCATTGTGAAAAGATATCTTGGGTTAGCAGTAAAAAGTTTACAATGCCTTGTAAACAGACCCCTTTACAAGCAAGAAGAATACTGAAACATGACACACATTGGATTAAAAGTTCCCTGTTGCAGCAATACTCCACACTTCTCATCTGGCAATTTCAGAGCACTTCGCAAAAGGTGAGAGCATCCTTCACTCTGTTTTCAGAGGAGCACACATGAAACAAATGAAACACAAGGAACTTGCACTGTTAAAGAGTTGAAAAAGTGCCACAGCATTTTCCAAGGATGATTGCTTATCCCTTGTTAGGTTTGTTTTGCAATGAAAAATAATGGCCAAAGCTATTGTGCCTTATGGAGGTTTTAAAAATTACTACTTTTTTTTTTTTTACAGTAACCTGTTGCACGGTTGAATAAAAATTTTTTTTTCTTAATACAGTACATGGCATTTCTCCTCAATTGCACCAGAAGTAAATTTGGAAGCACTTTCAGTTTGTTATAGGCAAATAGGAAAGAAAAACAAGTCAGGCAGGCTTTCAATCTTTTTTCCATCTCTCTGCCCACTGTTTCATCCCCACCCTTTCACATCTCTGAGTCCACATACATTCCATTGATCAAGTAATCCACTTGTGTGTAATCCTTCTTCTTGTAGCTCTCATAGGCCTGCATAAGGAAAAGAACTATAACAGTTATGAAAAAAACCGTACCAACTAAAAGCACTGCAAGAAGCAAACTTTTATCCACTAAGTACTGAGTCAGGGGCTCGGCAGCAATGCGAAGATACTCATTGTCCATGTCCTGAGTTTCTGCAAAGCCCGAAGCTGTTGTTTTGCGTGCATCTGCTGGAGCCGTGGTTGTTGAAAAAATGTGAGATGTTGACTTTATCCCATGCCCAGTCATAGTTTCTGCTGTAGAGGCAGTAGTTAAAACTGTGGCATCTCTTGTAGAGCCCAGAAGAGAAGTTGATTTACTCAAGGATGTTGTGGCTGTACTTGCTTCTGGCCCTAGATACAGCAATGTAATGCCAGGCAGTGGATTCCCAGAGTGTGAACTCTCCAAGGGGTTGAATGCCGTGGCATGAATGGAAGCAGTGGAAGATGCTCCTGCATCCTGCGGGATGAGGGTGGTCAACGTTGTGCTCAGTGTCGTTGGGCCAGCTCCAACAGTGGAGGGGCTAGTAGAGCGGGGAGTGCTGATGGTAGTGATGGCTGGGTTAACCTGCTCTGTTTGAGCCATTTGAGTACCTGCTTCAGAAATGACAGCAAGGGGAACAGAAGTAGAAGTGGGGGACAATACTGAGACAGGGCTACTATTTCCTGATTTTTCAGTGGTGGTCACAAGCTTGGTGACATGGCTGGAAGTGGAAGCAGAGATGTTAACAGAAATGGGAGAAGAGGCAGTGGATGACATGGCTTCAGCAAGGACACCAGAACCTCCAGGGCCATTTGAGGCTTTGGCAGTTGTTTCATAAGCTGTAGTGAGGACAGTTGCGTTTATAACATTTGTTTTTACGGCTGTGGCAGTGGTGGTGGTTGCTGTGGTGGTGGTAGCATGGCTTGCAATTGTTTTTCTTGCATTTGTTGTTACATCTTCACTCCCAGCCACAAACAAATGCTTCAAGTCAATCTTATGAGTCTGAGCAGTTGTGGAAAACAGGTTTTCCATGTTGTGCTGGTCAACCCATGCATTCAGCATCCTCTCCTTTCTCTGCAGATAGCTTTGGTGGTGAAACAGGACTGTCTCCCTTTTCCCACCGACAATTTCTTCAAAAAGACAAAACGAATGAGTTTCGTAAGAATAAAAGTCTCAAGCTCAAATCTGACCTCATAACCCCAACATGCAAATCAGAACACATATTCTGCAGTACATGTAGTACAATCATCTTGAAGTCAGCAAGAACATGAAAACTCAGACTCCTGCCTTTATGGCACATAATTCCTTTGGGATTGGGGGGCGGGGACGGGGACGGTGGGTGTTTGTTTGTTTTTTGCCACAGACCTCTGGCATTTGCCCAAACAGGGAATTAATTCCACAAAAGGGGGGTAATGAAGCACAGAGCGACAACACAGAAGCACATTATCAACAAGAGCAACGTTACGAATGCCAGCTCCTGAGAAGACAACTCATGCTTTCAAAGTTACACAGCATCAACAAAGCCTTCGTGCTTAGATTCATAATTTTCACCTCTCAAAACTGAGTGGAAATTTCCACTTACACCTTCATACTTCGGGAGAATTTCCTTCACAGCTAGTGATCTAGATTTATAGTGACATAAATCCCATCTGCTTATCAAAGGTCTGGTTGCTATGTTGCAGAGAAACCTTTGCCAACCCAAAAGAACCATGAACAAACTTTCTTTTTTTTAAACTTGGGTACAGCGAACTCTTGGAACATACTTTAGAAGATTGATTACCAACCAGCTCCAATTACCAACAAGCTCCGTTTTGTTATTGTGTCACTTAATTAAAACTGAAGACCTGCACTGGAAAGTCACCATGAGCAATTGCTGCTAAGGCTGCTCTGATTATAGAAGCAGCCTGCTGCCTCTGGCACAAAATCCTGTCAATCTCAGAAAAAACAATGCCAAGACATTTTCCTTTTCCTTAAAAAAATATAAATACATCTGTTACGCCTTTATTTTCCAAAGGACAGCGTGTGGAGTGCAAATGGCTTGAACGAATATCTTCAACATGGAGACAAACTGTTACTCAGTAACAGTTACAAAAGTTACTCACTCAGAGACACATCATGCACATGTAAGTGCCAGAGCCCTTACCAGGCTAATGAAACAGTTTTTCCAGTGAACTGGTTTTACCTACAGAATCATCCTGCAGGCCTTTCACAACCCATCTGCCTCAGCTGAAAGCCAGTCAACAACTAAACCTAGGCATTTAAAGCAAAAGGACCAGGATTCCGGATTTAGCAGGAGCCTGAAGCATGGCGTTACCTCCGAGCAGATCTTTGATGTCTTGTTCTCCAGCATTCTGGCACACGCTCAGCTGGCGACACTGCAAGAAGATGCAGTGATTCTGGTAGGGCACAGACCAATTACAGTAATGGTTATCTGAAAACAGCAGAGAAAATGGGTTGCTACACATAGTATACTGAACACACTGCTTCATGGCTATAATTAAAGCATTTAAAAAACCCAAACAATAAAAAAAAAAAACCAAAAACAATAGCTGCAAAGTCTGGCCTTAAAGGATCCTAACTCAGCCCTAGTGAAAATAACTGGAAAGCCAATGAAATCAATATAGCAGCTGCAGCCTACCTACCTGCTTGTCTTCTGGTACCAACACCTCCTAACAACAGCAATTCACTCACCCAGACAGGAACAAAGAGAGTGCACTACAGTTTGGACCCATCTAAATGCTAGTGTTCATCTAGATGTCTTAATGAGGAAAAAAAAAAGTGAGCTGAAACTGAGAAGACACCCATCTCATCACCCATGGGAGACAGATCTCATCTCAGTGCTTGGAGTTACACAGGAATTTACTCCTCATTCACTGAACAATAGTATCATTTAGCCATGGGAGCCATCACAGAAATTGTCTTTTAGTAAGTCAAATCCCAACTCAAGCTAAATAAACTCATCACAGCAGGAACTCTCTCTCCTGGCATCCCTTTGAACTCACTGACTTCTTTCTGAGTGTGTCTACATACACATAACCAAGCTTTGAGGGAAGGAATGGACCTCCTCTAACCAGCGTCGAGGAGACATCTCAAACGCTGCTCCCAGTTTTGGGCTCCCCAGCATACAAGAGCAGTATCGACATAGTGGAGTGAGTCCAAGGGAGACTACTAGATGTCTGAGGGGCTGAAGCAGATGATTTACAGGAAATCCCAACTCAACATCAAGGGAAAAAATTAGCTTCCACCACGAGGGCACTCAGACACTGGGCTGAGGGCCAGCGAGGTGGTACACTCTCCATCAGGTCTTGAACAGTCAGATCTAGGTCAGGTTCAGACCAGAGACCTTCAGAAGGTCCCTTCCTGCCTAAATTATGCTATGATTTTATGTAATGAATTTCTGGGACACATGCTGTAACAAAAAAAAAAAACAAAACAAAACAAACACAGAAGAAGATAACACAGTGCTCAGTCTGGGATGAAGCAGATGTGTGCCGAACTGACCACCTATCAGTGGATTAAAGGGAACTTAAGTGTATGGTAGGAGAAATTAATTTCTGTGTTTTGTTAGAAGTGTGAGAAAGCACAAAGAACATGCCTATGTGGTACATATGGCTATATTTAAAGCTCTTATCTACAAAGAGAGTTACCCTCACTGAGGATTAAGGCTTTGGGAAGCTTGAACTTTTCATAAAAACACATTTACATTACCACAGTTATTAAAAGGGCTTGTGGAAAATTTATGGAGAAATCCCTGTACCAACAACTGCAGTCTGTTTTGACAGCCCTAAAGAAACTAGCAAAGGTGGAATTTTACTGACTTTGATAAAATCTTAAGAAAGTGACTGAAACGATTCAAAGCCTTTAAAAAATTGTACTTAAAAAGCGATAAAATTAAAAGCTTCAACAGTCGCACAGAGCAGGAGATATAGCAGCAGCCCTTCAAGAAATTAAAATCCAGTCCTCAGAAATGAAAGCATGTTTGGATGTGCCCTGATTCCCAATTCCACCTCCCATCCCTCACTCAATAAGCCATGCTAGTGGAGAAACGCACACCATCTACTACTGTAAATTGTGCCATTTCTCACTTCTTGGGAAGGGGAAAACAAAAAGTCAGCAGCATGTATTGCATTGGCTACATATCTAAGTCAGTCAGTTCAGAAAGGTCAAGAGACTAATGGGGCCAGCATGGCTAAAGCACCCTGGCTTTTGCTGCCATCAGGATGGTATCCAGCTGTTCATGACTTCCCTGCTGCTCCCCAGGACAACCAGATACCTCGGTTGAGCTGGACTGATTAGTACTCCCTTTCATGCAACTCCAGATTGAGGCTCCATCTGATGTGTCCACTGCAAGATATGTGCCACCCAGTGACTCCTTTTTGCTCACTTCCCATTAGGAGCCAGGGGGGAGGAAAAAAAAAAAAAAAAAGTGGAAGGACAACAAAAGCTCTTCAGAGCTATTTTGAAAGGAAACCATGTAGGCAGACACCAAGGTCTTGCCCTACCACAAGGTCTTGCCCTACCAAGCTGATTTATTTCATTTTTAAGCCTGCTGTTACTGGAAAGAAATCACAGATGCCAAGGCAAGCAGAAGCCAGGTAAGCAGATGTATTGTTGAAGTAGGGAGCAGGAATATTTGCTCTTGCAGCCATGTCATATTTTCCCTTTATTTTTCCCAGAACATGCAAGATAGCCTAGGATTGTTGCCAAGTGGCTCTGTTCTCAAAGCCAGACTGCTCAGATGGCCAAGATGTTCCCCTCCAGCCCTGGGCTGGCCACCATAGAAGAAACCAGGGAGAGCTCCAAATATGGCAGGGGATGCAAGGAAAGTGCATGAGCTTATCTTACCTCCCAATATGGCTTTACCATGCTCACCAGGCATCTGAGAATCCTGGATTGCCAGATCTTTGCTAAGATGGGCACTTTCTCCATCATGTATAACACTTACCCCAGCAGCATCTGGAGACTTGAACCCATTGCATTAGACAACATACAGAAGTTGGAGTTACTACCCATGCTGTCAGCTCTAGAGAGTTTTGCTGCTTTTATTAGCATGTAATTGAAGTCTCAAACTCTTTCATGATATTGGTAAAATTGTTTTGTGATATGTTAGTTTGCTAACTACGTATCCTGGCCTCTGGTGTGGATATCCAAAGGTGATGCCGGAATAGCTAGACCAGCAACCATTCCCTTTTCTGCAGGGCACATCTGAGATGTGAACATACTGGCAAAAGCAGTTCTTTCTGTGACAGTTGCACTACTTCTTTAAGTTAGTGATGTTATATCAGCAAGGGTATAAATTACATCTACAGAAGAGAGCCTAACCAGCTAGGAATGTTACTTTTCCACTTCTCCAAGCAATGTAGCTATGAAGACATCTCCCCATACAACCTGGGCTTGCAACTTAACACTATAATACCTTAAAAAATAACAACCACTGCTCCTTTATTGACAGTTACTTAGGTGTAACTATTCTGACATCTAAGCCTCAGGCCTCATGTCTCTGATGAAAGAAAGCACAAAAATAAATATACTTGGGGAAGGTGGGAATGAAGAACGAGAGCAGTAAAGATGATTTTAAAACCTAAAGCTAATCATAAAAAAAAAATTTAGGTCCTTCTCTCCAGATGATCTCTCTGCACATGTCTACACATTTATGTCTAGTGTTTGTATCTTTTGCATCTCCCTTGACACCAGGTAGTGCATCAGACTGGCCATCAAGTAACAAATAGGAATTAAATTGCTTCAGTGGGTTTAATACAGAATGTAAAACCTGAAAAGGTATATGCTTTTGGGTTTAGTTTTGCGTGGTTTCCTGAAGATGGAACGGGTCACCTAATTCCACAGGCTCAACCCCCTCTGCCCAACAAAGCTAACACTCAACTGGACTTGCTCTGTAGAGAGCTTGCTCTTCATCTTTCTAGGGTTTACCCCCTTAAAAAGCAGAAGCTGAAGTTTTCACAGCTCTGATGCCTGGGAGACAAACCCACTCACATATTACCTCCTAAATACAATGCTTAGTTTATAAAGGTGCTTTCTTTCCACTATGAAGGGATGTCTAATGTTTAAAATAAAGGTTTGAAACCACTGGGCATTAAAAAAAAAAAAAGGCATCTTTATGATGTTCCTATCAATCTGATCATCAGACATTCATCCACCTGCGCCAAGGTCTCATCTTCACCACAGCATCATCAGTTGTTTGTAGGTGCTACAAGCTTTCACACATGGCTAGATAAGATAGGGTCCTTCATAAGGACGACTCTGAAAGACTCATTTAGAAGTTTAATGCTTTTTAAAGACATCTCAGAGGTAGACAGCAAAAGGCTCTCATCTCCCCAGACTTGTTTAACCCCATGCTTGGTTGCAGGATACAAATGGTTTCTTCTAAGGCAGAAAAAACACACATAAATACCAGCGAGCAAAGACTACTCATTCCAGTGCAGCTGTCTACAACAGCACTGTTCACTTGCAAACATCTGGCAGCATGGAATGATCATTCTTCAAGTCAAGTGACCTAACACCATTTGCATGCTACCAGTGCACACCAAGTGTGAATGCATGCTGTTTCTTATGGAAGCTAGAAGGGCCCTGGGAAAGGGTTGTTCTGGATTCAGTTTAACCAAAGCTGTCAGAAGTTATTTAGCACCACAGGACTGCACAGAGAAGCCATAACTGTAAATGCCTGTAAACAACTGGAATTAAGAAAGGTACTTGTCAGGGGAGCAGAGGAGACCTTTAAGGAACAGAAAACCCAGCTGAAATTCCAGCTAAGGCACAAGAACCTCACCTGAAGCACCTGGGCTTTGACAAGCCTGCCTGCACTGCTTTTCAGTTGTAAGCCTGTTTATCTGCACTACATGGACTCCTCTCCCTTTCAGGACAGAAAACCTGTGTTCGCATATACAGAAGGAAA